AAAATTTTTAAAAATATATTTTTATTGATTTTAGAGAGGAAGGGAGAGAGAGATAGAAACACCAATGATGAGAGAAAATCATTGATCAGCTGCTTTCTGCATGCCCTCTACGGGGGATCGAGCCTGCAACCCGGGCATGTGCCCTTGACCAGAATCGAACCCAGGACCCTTCATTCCGCAGGCTGATGCTCTAACCATTGAGCAATTGGTTAGGATGAACTGGAGTTCTTTTATTCAACAGACTATAAGCACTTGCTCCGTTTTAAAAAGATTTATTTGTAGTCTATTCATTTGGCAAGTGTGGATCTGACACTAGCTGTCTGTCTTTGTAACTGAGAGAACATGAACGTGGGCTGCCCTTTATACTCCCTGACACATGAGTGGTCTAACCTGAGATAGTACAGCTATGAGGATTATGCTTTTTACCTGCTTCAACCAAACTATACAGGAGAAGTTCAGAATTCTCTGCTTACAGGGATCCGATAGCAATGTTTGGGTTTCTAATTTCCTAACAGTGATTAATGAGAGACTTACCTTGTTTCTCAGGAATAAAAATTGTAAAAAGTGTTTGTGTTTATTTTCTGTGGTATGTAACAAGTTACCACAAATTTAGTGGCTTAAAGCAGCACCTGTTTAGTGTTTCAGTTTCCATGAGTCAGAAGTCTAGGTATGGCTTAACTCATGTTGTCACAAAGTTCCAACCAAGGTGTCAGCTAGGGCCAGTCTTAATGAGGGTCACAGAGGCTTAGGGTCCTCTTCTGAACTCATGTAGTTGTTGGTAGAGTTTATTTCCTCACAGCTCTAGAACCTGTGGAAGCTTTGAGGCCAACAGGAGAATTGCTCACTTCCAACGCCCTTTTCATGGGCTCACCAGATTAGGGGAAATCCATCTAGAATGACCTCCCTTTTCAGTAATATGAACTTACTTCATTAGGGACCTAAATTACATCCTCAAAATTCATTCATTACCTTTGCCATATTTCATTAGTAAGAAGCAAGTTACAGGTTCCACCCACACTCAGAGAGGGGAGATTACACATGGTGTGGATACCAGGGTACCAGGAGGTGTGACTCACGAGCCATTTTAGTATTCCGCCTGCAATGGTGGAATTTTAATTTATTTTGATTTTTCTCTTTATTAATTATTGAATAGGTATAACATCTACATATTTTTATGTGGGGTATATAAAAAATATATAACATATCCCAGTTTAGGAAATAGGGCATTATCATTGCCTTTAAAATTTGTGTATTGCACCATTTTGCTGCCATATTTATTTCGTCTTAAATATATCTTTTTTTTCCCCCAGGCTGCCAGTACACCACTGAATCCTTTAAGTTTTCAGTGTGAATTTGTAAAACTCAGGATTGACCTTCTGCAAGCCTTCTCTCAACTTATCTGTACTTGTAACAGTCTAAAGACAAGCCCCCCTCCTGCAATCGCCACAACAATCGCCATGACTTTAGGAAATGAACTTCAGAGGTGTGGTCGCATCTCTAATCAGGCATGTGTCAGCCTATTTTCAGTGTAGTTTTTGTTTACACTTTAGAAGTTTTTGAGGTTAGTTGTGAGATGAAAAATCCTGAAATTTATAAATCAATGGTCTGACTCATGGACATTCAATATAAAATGCTTATTAACTCATCTGTCTTGCCAAAAATAGACTGATGTCTTATTAGAATGACAAAGTGATTAATGACATCTCACTTAATGCTACATATTTAGATAAAGAAAAAGGACATAAATTTTAAAGAAACTTTGGGGTGTCAATAACTATATTAATTTTTTTAGTAGAACTTAAAAGAAGCTAAAAATGCAAAATTTTTTGTTTCCATACATCAGATATACATTACCATAATCTTGTGCACATTTGTATTTTTATTTGCCTTCTGTTAATTTTATTTAACAAGATTTATAAAAATGAATGAAAATGAAAAGGAGTTGAAGTATTTTTTACATATTTTTGTTTGACTGTTTTGATTTTTGTGTTTATACAATAATGATAGCATGTTTATCATAATTAATATTTTTCCTTCTTTGTAGATGAAACAATCTATGGAAGAATTCCGAAGCCTTGCTTCCCGATATGGGGATCTTTATCAGGCATCTTTTGATGCTGATTCGGCAACTTTGAGGAATGTAGAGCTGTATCCTAAACTTGCCGCGATATATCTTGTTCTTTTGAAGTATTCTTTTAAACATAAATACTTCAGATATGCTTGACTAATATATTAGATAAGCCTATAAATTTATTACAATTAATAATTTCTACTTTGAAATCTAGTATAAGCAATATAATTTTACTTTTTTACTTAAACCAGGCTTTTTAAATAAGTGGTGACTCAATGGTGGTCTTTCTCCACCTCTAGGAAAACAGGTTGCAAACATAATACAGATCGAATTACAGAGCCTGTTGCTTGGTCCCCCTCCCCCACCCCCTTTGAAGTATCCTTCCTGATAAAGAATTTGAGAATCACTATTTCAGACACCATATATTCCTTAAAAGAAAAAAAATAAAGCCCCAGACTATTTGAGTCGATAACATATGGTCACCTTCACTAAAAATACAATCCTCACCTTGACTAATTTAATATTCAAATAATATAAAGTCTGTAGTAGATTTCTTTATTTTTAGGTATAACCTTGACATTAATCCAGACAGCAGCAGAGCTGTTTACTGATGTCTCACGCAATAGAAGCTCTGATTTTAGATCCAGAATCTGCAAGGTATTTCTAATAATACTTTACATTAAATAATGCTTTCAACTGTTATCTAACCTAATCATCACAACAGTGGTTTAGAAGAGGAATTGTAGAAAAAAACAAAACACAAAACAAAATAGAGGAAGAATTTCTCCAGCATTTGTCTAAGATCACATAGCTAGTGATGAAACCTGGATTTTCTGACTGTTGTTTATTTACCTCCTGCCTCCTGTTTTCTCAACATTGACTTGGCAAATTAACTGGGAACAAATTCATTGAATTTGAACATTTTCTTTTTATATATTGTAACTAAACTTTGGTATGAAAAATTAAGTTAGCCCTAGCTGGTTTGGCTCAGTGGAGAAAGCGTCAGCCTGCGGACTGAAGGATCCCAGGTTTGATTCTGCTCAAGGGCACATGCTCAGGTTGTGGGCTTGATCTCTAGTGGGGGGCATGCAGGAGGCAGCCAATCAATGATTTTCTCTCATCATTGATGTTTCTATCTCTCTCCCTTTCCCTTCCTCTCTGAAGGGAAACTTATAATTATATTATAAGTTAATAATATAATTAAACTTGTACTTGAAATTATTTTCTTTGGGTTTCCCAAACAAAAAGTATTCCTGTTTTTGCTTTGTTAGAAATTCTTCTTCCCTCCCCCATTAACTAATTAATTTTTTAAAATCCTATATAATAAAAGCCTAATATGCTAAGTGTCCAACCGTTCGTTCAACCATTTGACCAGTCGCTATGATGTGCACTGACCACCAGGGGGCAGATGCTCTGACTGGTAGGTTAGCTTGCTGCTGGGGTCCAGCTGGTCGGGACTGGGTGAGACGGGCTGGACACGCCCTGGAGCCCTCCCCTGCTGGCCCTAAGGAGTGGGCAAGATGGCCCGATCTGGACTGGGTGAGATGGGCCAGACATGCCCTGGAGCCCTCCGACGGTCCCTCCCTGGCTGGCCAACCTTCCGTGGTCCCTCCCCGGCCAGCCGGCCTGATCACCCCAATTGGGACTGGGCGAGACAGGCTGGACACTTCATGGACGAATCCGTGCACCGGGCCGGTTTTGGCCCGATGCCCTCAGGCCAGGCCGAGGGACTCCACCAGCCACTAGCATTTTTATAAAAGAATGACCATTGGTTTTTCCTACGATAGTATTCTATTTTGGAATATGAATTTTTAACTGTCTATCATTTTCAATCTAGTAAGACCTATGATTCCAAGATCAACTTCCTCCACAAAGAGAATATAGCGACAATGCATTTTTTGTTGTTGTTGTTAATCTTCACCCAAGGACATTTTCCCCATTGATTTCTAGAGAGAGTGGAAGGGAAGGAAGGAGACGGGAGAGAGAGAGAGAGAGAGAGAGAGAGAGAAACATTGATTGGTTGCCTCTCACAGGGAATCAAACCTGTAACTCTTCAATGTAAGGGCTGATGCTCTAACCACTTGGCACATGGCTCCAGGGCTCAATAATGCATTTTAAATTTCTGTACCCTAAAGCAGTAGTTGCCAACAGGTGGACTGCAGACCACTGGTGGTCCGTGAGGTCCGAAAGTTTGGCGACCGCCGCCCTAAAGTGTTGACTCACATTTCTTTACAGGGCAATACCAAATTCCTTGTCTTCTCTTTTAAAGTACTACCTACTCTCAGACTACTCTACTTGGCAAAGTTTTCCCCACTCATCTGATTCATTTTAATATTTTGGTGACATACTAACTTTTACTTATTTTTCTACTCATCCTTACCTTATCTATGTTTATTTTCCCTAGTTTGCAATGTTTGACTTGCTTTTTTAAAAATTTTTATTTACTTATAATTTATTTTTAAAACAAGCTTCTCCCTTTAAAATTTGAAGATGTTCTTAAACTGCCATAATTTTCAGTTTTTGCCAACTAATTGATACTTCATGCTCCCATTTTAATATTTTGGTGACATACTAACTTATTTTTCTACTTATCCTTACTTTATCTATGTTTATTTTCCCTAGTTTGCAATGTTTGACTTGCTTTTTTAAAAATTTTTATTTACTTATAATTTATTTTTAAAACAAGCTTCTCCCTTTAAAATTTGAAGATGTTCTTAAACTGCCATAATTTTCAGTTTTTGCCAACTCATTGATACTTCATGCTGACACCATTTCTCATTGTGCAATACTCATTTAACTGCTTACAACACATGTCATTGTACTGTTGGTCGACATAATAGAAATTAGTGTTTTTCTTGCTTAGCTTTTAACAGAGAGATAGGCACATTGTCAGCAGGGATGGGGTGAAGGGAGTTATCTAGCCAGCTCACACATGCTGCTCTCCAGCCTTCCCCCCTTCCTATCACCTTTCTTCACTCTTCTCCATCACCTTTCATCCCTCAAACCCATTCCCCTAATCTTTGTCCTTCATAATAATGAAAAATTGGAAAAGAACGCATGTACCTTGAGGGAGAGTTCTTTGGGTTTTATTTGCAATAGTGTGTAATTGCAAGGAGTAGATTCCTTCTAAAACGTCTCTTCTTGGTAGTATATATTTTGTGCCTTCCAAGTAAAGAGGAACCTATTGCTGAAAAGAACCTCAAGAGAGTGAGGCATGTCATTGATATTTCACTGGATTTTTTACAGAAATCTGTGTGTGTCTTTCACAGCCTAGAAGGGTTGGGGAGGTGAGGGGAGATATTGTTTCATTCAACTCTGTATCTCTAGCAGCTAACATGATACCTATGCCAGTGTATCAGTAAATGTGGGATAGGATGGAGAGATGTTTATAATCGTGAATGTTATTATCTACCTCATACCAACTTTTCAGGATTACCAGGAAAAAATATTTTGAAATGCTTGTGCATTACATTTTTCTATTCTAGCTTCTTATTCAGTCTGTCATGATTCCTTTGCACTTAACCTTTATTTCTACTGCCTAGAAAATAAGGGAATGACTAGGGACAAGGTTTATACTACCTAACAACCAAAGTGATTGAGTGAAGTCAAATCGAGGTTTGAATTCCAGCTTGTCACTTACTGGTTATATGAGACTGAGGGCAAATTACTTAACTTCTCTAAGTCTCAGTTTCCTCATCTATAAAATGGAAATAACAGTGGGTACTTTATTATTTTAAAGATTAAGTGAGAATGTGTGGAAAGTGCCTGATACATTGAGACATTAAAATTGCTGCTGTTGTGGTTCATTAATCGATACTGATTTTTAACTTCAGTTCCCAGGAATATGGATCTATAGGAGCAGCCCATGCTGATAGTGAATATGAGAGAAGAATGATGTCTGTATATAATCATGTCTTGGAGGAGGTGGAATCACTCAATCGGAAATATACCCCTGTTTCTTATATGGCAAGTGCATTTGTTTTATTGAGTTTTTATTATGTGCAAGTGGTTTTTACTCATCTCTGGCACTTACTGTGTGACTTCTACCTCTCTATGCCTGTTTTCCTTTGTGACTGTTTTGTAGCCGGGTTACTATAGTACACGCCTCACAGCATTGTTATGAGGATGAAATGAGATGATTCATGAAAGCACATGGCACTTCTGTAGCTGCTACATACCAGTAGTCACATTAACATGTCAAATCTGCTCTACCAGGATGCAGATAAAACTTATTTTTTTTTAACAAGTTAACTGAAATTGCAGTTGTTCTCAACCCTGGCTATTACATTAGAATCACTTTGAAAACTTTTTTAAAAATGCATCAGTATTCAGGCCCCACCCCAGAGCAGTTAACTGTATCTGTGCAGTCGAGGCCTGGGCATTCATATTTTTAGAAGCTCCCAGGTGATTCCATCATGCCTCCAGGGTTGAGAACCACTGGCCACTTGAGACAGAAAGAACTGAGCTTGTTATCTGACTGGCACTAAATCAGTTCCTGCGAGGTGATGCCATTGATACTTTTTAGTATACTTGTCCACCTTTCGTCTGCTGAATCTGCTGCCTTTGGCACTGTTGAGCACTCGCTCTTTATTCAGTCTTGTCCCCTGACTTCCCAGCCACAGGACAGATGGAGACACTCTCACCCAAATTCTCTCCTCCATGTCTGGCCAGTCTCCAGTGTCTTAGTTAGCTCAAGCTCCTGTAGCAGAATACTTGGTGGCTTAAACAACATTTATTTCTCACAGTTTGGGAAGCTGGAAAGTCTAGGATCACTTTTTTAAAAAATATATATTTTATTGATTTTTTACAGACAGGAAGGGAGAGGGATAGAGAGTTAGAAACATCGATCAGCTGCCTCCTGCACACTCCCTACTGGGGATGTGCCCGAAACCAAGGTACATGCCCTTGACCGGAATCGAACCTGGGACCTTTGAGTCCGCAGGCTGACGCTCTATCCACTGAGCCAAACGGGTCAGGGCTAGGATCACTTTTTTAACAAGTTAACTGGTAAGGGCCCTTTTGCTAGCTTGCAAATTGGCTCTTTCTTACTGTGTCCTCACATGTTCTGCAGAGCTCTGGTCTCTCTCTTTTTATAAGGACACTAATTCCATTATAGGGGGCCCATCCTCATGACCTCCTCTAAACCTAGTCACCTTTGAAAGGCCCCATTTCCAAAAACCAACACATTGAGAGTTAGGGCTTTTCCATATGAACCTGGAGAAGACATACACATTCAGTCCATAACACCCTGTCTTTGAACTTTACTCCTTGGAGAGCTTTTGCCCTGCCCACACATCAGATATTCCCCATAGCTCTCTTCTGGTTCCTGCTCTTCTTGTTCTGTACTCTTACTATTTATCAAGTATTTTAGAAGAAATTGGCAGGGTGCATTGTTAAAGGGTTAGGTTAGATATTAAGGACAGATATACAGCTTTCCACATAAGGTCATCAGTACATATTTGCTGATTCGAACTGACACGGGTTTGACACTGAGATTGGTTGCTAAGGGAGATTGTAAAAATTATCTTTGAAGTAAACACACACATCTCTGAGACATTCATTATTTCATATTTCCTCTAAGCTGCACCCTAAGAAGTTAAGTAGATACCAAACAGTACTTCAGTTTAATGGAATTGAACCCACTGAATATAATGGAAAGAAGGGGAAATTTCTGCTCAGTAGGTCTGTGATTTTAGACAAATTACTAAAATCCTTTTCTATGATATGGAAAAAAAAATCTACCTCACAGAGTTACTGTGAACGTTAAATGAAATAATGTGTATTGCCTAGCACAGTACCTGGCATAGTGCATAAGGAGTGATTAGTGAATGTTCATTCTCTTCTCTCCACATTGTATTTTATAGCTTTAATTTTATCTGAACCCCAAATTCAGTTCCACAAGTATTAATTGGGTCCTAGGAATAGAAAAATGACCAAGACACAGGATCGTCCTTCGAGTTGCCTGTAGTCTAATAAGAAATGAAGATTTTATAAACGAACCTGTGTGTATGCAGAAATAGAGCTCTTCCCAAGGTACAGATGTAGCACAAAAGAGAAAGTAATGCATGTCACAGGATAGGTGAATGGGGTAAGAGTGTAACTCAGAAGATGTCTTTGCGTATGAGTTTTACAGGGAGATGAGGGTAGAGAATTTCAGGCAGAGAACAACACGTTCGAAAGCAGAGGCGTGAAATAGCATATGTCTTCTGGTAACAGTTTGTTACTGTTGTTCCAGCAGAGTGTACAGGTGGGGGCTGGAGAGGTAGGCAGAGGCCAGGTGACAAAAGGCTTTGAACACAGTGTTAGGGAGTTTGGACTTTATCCTATAGGCACTGGGGGGGTTTTAGGAATTTTTAATGGGTAGAGGAAAGAAGTGGTTAAGATTGTACTTTATTGTTCTGTAGGCACAGAACATGTAATGGCTGTTCTGTGGTTACAAGGCTTCTCTCATAATCCAAGGTAAGGGCCTAATGAATAGGAATTAGAATGAGAAGAACAGGTACATAAGAAAGATACTTAGGGGCAGTATTTTCAAGGCTTGGGTTTTTGTGTGGTGTGTGTGTGTTTATTAAATGTGAGAGGATGGAGACATGACCTCCAGGTTTCCAAGTTACCAAGTGCACAAGTGGTTGATCCTTCACTGAGACAGAGAATATAAAGGGATGGTGGTAGAAGGTGAAGGTTTCATTTTTAACGTGTGGCTGTCTTACAGGCAATTGGAAAATAGGTCTGGTGTTGGAAGGAGTCGGGCTGGAATGCATGTAAGATGGTTTTGAACGTAGAGGTTCTTAAAGTCACGGGAGTAGAGAAAATTGCCTCTTAGGAACATATGGACTAATGAGAGTGTCAACATTTAAGGAAGAAACAAAGGAAGAGAATCTTAGGAAAGAAGATGGAGAGGGGAAGAATCAGAAAAAGTGAGGACGGGGGCCATAAGTGGAATTCCTTGGAAAAAGAGACTTATCAGGTGCCACAGTATTGTAAAAAGTACAAAGGCTGAAAAGTATTGGATTTGCAATGAGGAGTGTTGGTTTAGGAACCATGATATGTGACTTCACACCTCCAGACTGTTAACTTTAATAGTAAATTGCTACTAATGTACCTGGGGAGGTGTGTCCGGGGGGCTGGTGGCCTCAGAGGCAGTCCTGCTTTCCCAGTGGAGGTTTGTAAAGTCTGAATTTCTTCTTATAAAAGGGAGAATGGTGCCTTTTTGCCCGGGAACAGCCTGAGGTCACTTGGGGTCCTCTGAGTCCCTCCTTTAAAGATGTTTCTCTCCTTAAACACGATTGTGACATCAAAGGTTCCACCACAAGTAGAATGTCCCTGCAAATGCTTCCCAGGTTCCTTGCAGGAAGATGGATAGTGATGTTTCAGCAATTAAACCTGAAGAAATAGGCCCAATGTCTTTAAATCTGAGTTATTATTCTCTCAAGTAATAGACCTGGCATTTGTATTACTGCTTGTCTGTTGGGTACAAAATATTCAGTAGTCTGAACCCAGTGACGAGTAGTTTCTTCTGGCTTTCTGCCTTATTGCCCAACTCTTAAAAAATGTTTACAGGGTAGGCAACTAGGTGACAGTTTACTTGAAAGCAGGAGCTTAGACGGACAGACAGCATAGTGTATGGTGGAGTGGTTTTCAACCTGTGGTACTTTGGAGGGACCACTGAGAGGGGAGTAGACTGAGGCGGGGATGGTAGACCAAGTTGGAATGGTTCTGGGTGCCCAAAGATTAAGTGTTCTGATAGTGCTGTAACTTTTTTTCTCCTATTGTTTGCAAATCATTGGTGAAGTGGAACAAAAATCACTGAACTAACTAAGGATTAGGCAATCTTGGTTCTAGTTCCAGCTTGTTCCATTAGCTGTCTAGATGACCCATGTCATCATCAGAATTGAGATGATCTTTATCTGTGAAGCTTTTTGAAGGGTATTCTTTAAGAAGAAAAAAAAAGATGAAAAATATAAACAATAAAATGGCAATAAATACATAGCTATCAACATTTAAATCTAAAAATAAAAATAAAGAACAAGAAATCTGATGAACAAAATAAACTCATGAATAAAATAGAACCAGAAACATGGAACAGACTGACGAATCCCAGAGGGGAAGGGGGGTGCAGAAGAGATTAACCAAAGAACATAGGCATATTTGCATTACTTAGGACACAGACAATAGGGTGGTGAAGGACTGGGGCAGGGGTGCATTACTTAGGACACAGACAATGGGGTGGTGAAGGACTGGGGCAGGGCGGGAACCGGATTGAGGGAGGTAATGGGGAGAAAGTAGGGGACATCTGTAATACTCTCAGCAATAACGAATTTTTTTTAATTGGGATGATCTTTAAATAGCTTTGATGGTTTCATGGGTGTATGGTTACCTGCATGCCCATCAAGTGGTATATGTTAAATATGTACAGCTTTTTGTATGTCATTGTCTATCAATAGAGTGGTTTTAAATTAAATAAATAATCTTGGAACTCTTAAATTCTGGTTCTATGATCCTTTTCACTAAGACTCAAAGCATTTATTAAAGTTTCATAATTCCCTAGAGTTGGACTATATAGTCATTCTTAATCTGAATTCCAGTAAACTTCCACCATTACTCTCTCCCTGAGGCCTCATGGCCCATAGGGTCAGGGAAGCTGCCTGGTGGGGATGGGTTGACAGAATGAGGCAACTCTAAGCCGAAGTTCCACATGGGATTAGGTGTCAGCCCCAGGATGTCAATATACTGCTCCAGCTTCTTTACCATGTACTCTTTATCATACTTTGCCAAACTTTATCAAACTGGCAGTTACTTTGGACTATATAGTCATTCTTAATCTGAATTCCAGTAAACTTCCACCATTACTCTCTCCCTGAGGCCTCATGGCCATAGGGTCAGGGAAGCTGCCTGGTGGGGATGGGTTGACAGAATGAGGCAACTCTAAGCCGAAGTTCCACATGGGATTAGGTGTCAGCCCCGGGATGACAATATACTGCTCCAGCTTCTTTACCGTGTACTCTTTATCATACTTTGCCAAACTTTATCAAACTGGCAGTTACTCTGTATTTCAGTGTCATAATATGTCTACTAGCTCGAAGCTCTTTAGAAATGCAAAGTTTGCATATTGCTTGCCTTGAGCAATGTGGATTTCTCTTTTCTGTCATTTGCTTTTTATGGAATATACTCCTTTACAATAAAGTATAAATCTGTAATTGTACTCCTTAACATGAGTTACTTGGCAAATGTGCACAGTTCCTGGATTGTTGTTGGTTTTGTTTTTGTTTTTTTTACTATTTCCTGATTGATGGTGTTATTATTGTTGTTTTTGTAATAATCTATGTGAGCATTTGTAGTTTTTAAACTTCTCCTGAAAGTACCATTTGTTGATGAAATTTGGAAATTCATTTTTATTTGATTCTATTTCTTTCCCCTCCAGCATACAGCATGCCTCTGCAATGCCATCATTGCTTTGCTGAAAGTTCCTCTTTCATTTCAGAGGTATTTTTTCCAGAAACTGCAATCCACCAGCATTAAGGTAATATTGGAAGAATGATAAGGTTAATATGGATTAAAAGCCCAGTTATCACGTACAGATTAAGCGGGACATAGTTCTGCTTCAAGAGCTTACCTTTGGTTTTGGCAAAACTTATGCTCTTTAATTATAAGCCTTTCCTGCCTTTACCAACTTGTTTGGTGAAGAAAATGGACACCTGTCAGTACCAAATGCAGTGAGACAGGTGTTTGGCTACCAGGAGCTCTGTACCTTGGCTCCCTACTCCAAGAATAAGTCGAGTGGTTTTCATCATAGTAGCCTACAAGGATCTTGAGCTGAGTCCACCTCTGGTCAGCCTATTCAGACCCAACTTCAAATGAAACAGATCCAGTATGACATCACCAGTCCTACCTCAAAAGCACTTTTATCTTTGAATAACAAGCTTTGGGGAGCTGGCCAATTAATAGTATTTTAAAATATTTAAACTACTCAAAATTCAAAAGCTGTTTTTGTTCAAGGAATAGAATTGTTGGGAATGGGGGAAATTGCCACTTCTGAGAGATTACTTGGATTATCCCTGTCAATAAATGTCTAGTATGTTTTGGCATCTGTCCAAATGCTTTTGATTGCAAATAACAAAGTAGGCTATGACAAATGACCTGGTTAATAAGGAAAATGTATTATATAGATAAGTCCTAAGGTAGTAGGTCTCCAGAGTTGATTAGTTCAATGGTTCAACAGCATTATAAAAAACAATTTTTCCATCTTTTTATTTAGCAAGACTTGAGCTTTCTGTAGTTGAAGTGGATTTGGGACTTTTAATATGTTTTTAAAGAAAAATTACTCTAATGAGAGGTTAAAAATGTCATTTGGTTCATTTGTGGAAGTTGACTTTTATACCATGGTGACTTGGTTATGTTTGTAATCCTAGAATTTTAAATTCATTTGCATTTGAATTTAGTCAATTTGAAATTATCTAAAACCAAAGAGACAGCTGCTGGACACAAAAATTTACATAGTGGATTTCCCTTCTAGAATTGGTTCGTTATCAAAGAAGTGCCTCCCCACAGAAATTGGGAGAGCAGTACCTCCACTATTCTCTGTTACCTTCAAACAGTGCTGGGGCTTCGGGTTAAAAAAACAAATGGGTATTTAAAAGGAGGCATTAGAAATAAGGAACTCTTGACTTTAAAGGTACATCTATCTGGTTGTCCCAACATAGTCAGGTTGTATGTGGGGGCGGGGGGGGGGGGGGGGGGGGGGGGGGGGGGGGGGGGGGGGGAGGTTAAGTAACATTTTAACCCATAACCAGTGATTAGCACAGACATGTATGTTGGAAGGAAGCTTGCTCTTGGTTGTTAGTGTTTATTTGATGTTGTTGTTCCAGCTTGCTCTGTCGCCATCCCCCCGGAACCCTGCAGAGCCCATCGCTGTCCAGAATAACCAGCAGCTGGCGCTGAAGGTGGAGGGAGTGGTTCAGCATGGATCTAAACCAGGACTGTTTCGCAAAATTCAGTCTGTCTGTCTGAATGTTTCTTCTACGCTACAGAGTAAATCTGGACAAGAGTACAAGGTAATTTACAAAAGAGGCAGAATTGTGATGCGATTTTAGGTGATGGAAGTTTTCCCATGTTTTTCATGGTTAAGTAGATTGCAGTTCTACCTCCCCAGGGATCAGATGGACATGAGTTAAAAGCACATATTGGGGTGTGAGAGCCTAATAACAATACTTCTCTTTTTCCTGCCTGAACATTTGATAGATGGAGATCAGCCTATGAGTGTTATTACTGTTAAAGCCAGGGAGGAACCCCGCTCAGGTGCCTGGCAGCAAGGACTTCTAGCCCTGTACCTCTGACATGAATTTTCCCACCTAGCTTCAGCCAATACACACAAAGCCTGCCCCCATAAAACATGGCAGGAAGGAGCACCCGAAGCTCAAAAAAGAAGGGAAAGAGAAGATGCTTAGCTCCCCATGCCCAGCTCCCACCCCGAAACTTAGCCAGTGGGATGCACCTCCTCTGCAGACCAGTACCGTTCATCTGATGAAAGGTCCTTTCATGCGGAGGGAACATCAGAAGTGGGGGATAAGTGTCTCCCTATGCCCCCTGCCCCCAAAAGAGCACATCTGTTTATTTTTCTCTATTTTAAGTAACTTTTCAAAAGGAAAGTATATAGCATTGACATAGTAATGGTTAATGTAAAAATCTTTCCTTATGAGTATAACCCTAGGAATTTACTGCTTTGAGAATCATGAGACCAGTTAACCAAAACCATGCTTGCTTTGTTAGCCAAAGCTAAGATTCTGAATTCATGCCCATGAAATGCCAATCTTCCAAATGTAGAATGTTCCTTCCTTTAGACATCTCTTTCCAGTTCTGTGGCAGTTTATTCAAAGTAAATGGAGCAAGGGATCAGGTACACAGTTGTATGATAGAGTTGTTCAAATGCCCAGATTGCTGGTATCCAGGTTGATTGGGGGCATGCTTGAACGGCGGTTCATAGCAAGAAAAGGGGTATTAGTAAAGATAAAAAGAGCGTTTTAGTCTCTTTCGTGTTCGGCTAAAAAAGCCAAGGGGAGTTCTGGTTTGAGCCATCATCACTTTCTTTGCTTTGATAGCTTACTCTCTCTCGCACTCTTCACCCATCTGGTAAGGCTCAGACTTCATTCTCTTCTCTTCCTCTCTTTTTATTTTCATGACCCAAAGCATGGTGCCTTATGTAGCCACTCACTAGCTATTTGGTGACTGATGAAAAAAAAATCAGTAGTTAGAGCACAACTATTATGTTTGGGTGATCTCTGATGTCACAGAAGATCATAGTGAGCATTTACATGGTTAACTGTCTGCAGCTCTCTCCTCACTTAGAGTTTGAGAGAACCGTAACCATGGTTCTCTTTGTTCCTTGTATATAATGATTTCTACTATTAAGAAGAAAAACATTCAAACTGAGAAGTACTGGTCTCCTGCTTGCTGACTTGCCTCTTGGGAGACATTGACTGAAGTCAGGAAGCTGCTATAATAAGCCACACTGTACATCAAGCGTGTCAACTCAAAGGCTAACACGGGCCAAATAAATGAGGCATTCGGCCTGTGTGCTGCAAGTTTGACATGCTTGCTGTACATGATCACTTCATCATGTTACTTGCAGGGAGTTTGCAACTTAAATGCATCATCTATTTAGAGTCATCAGGTCCTTTTCTGATCTCTTTAAGTAAGTTCTTGTTTAATAGGCATAGTCTTTAGGAATATAAAAACCTTACAAAAGTTGACTATGCAAACAAAAAAATACCTATAAGTAATTCTAAGATCTTGAATTGGTTGGTGACTTCATTAATGTTACAGGTAAATGACTCTGGAAAATTGACCTCATGCTAACTGCTTATTGAGACAAGCTCAGGGCACATTTATATAATTAATTATACAACAGAAACGAAGTCAGGAAGCTGCTATAATAAGCCACACTGTACATCAAGCATGTCAAACTCAAAGGCTAACACGGGCCAAATAAATGAGGCATATGGCCTGTGGGCTGCAAGTTTGACATGCTTGTTGTACATGATCACTTCATCATGTTACTTGGCGGGAGTTTGCAACTTAAAATGCATCATCCATTTAGAGTCATCAGGTCCTTTTCTGATTTCTTTAAGGAAGTTCTTGTTTAATAGGCATATTCTTTAGGAATATAAAAACCCTACAAAAGTTGACTATGCAAACAAAAAAATACCTATAAGTAATTCTAAGATCTTGAATTGGTTGGTGACTTCATTAATGTTACAGGTAAATGACTCTGGAAAATTGACCTCATGCTTACTGCTTATTGAGACAAGCTCAGGGCACATTTATATAATTAATTATACAACAGAAACACACATAAATGTAGATCAATCTAGTCAAACACTCATTAAGATTACCTGTATATGCATTGTCAGAAAAAGGGTCTCTCTGACATACTTCCTCATGAGTAGAGGTCGGGGTACATCAGCAGGTGTTATTCTGTTACTGAAGAACAACGGCCTGAGTGTTTGTCTAGCTAAATAAATGAATGAGCCCATAAATCTGTGTTTTGCAATATATCGTACTGCCAATCTGAACAAAACACTGATTAAGTGAGTGATGTACAAGTTCTGAAGTTAATTTAATGCTGAAGCTAATACTAAAGCAGGGAGGAATCATATTAAGGAATATAAAATCAGACTAGCTAGGAGGAAGAAAACTCACATATAAACATAGTTTTATGTCCCTTTTCAGTCTTTTATATTTTAAAACCACTATTTCTTCAGAATGTCTCTTCACAGACTGAAGAAAGATGGGAATTGGAGTTGAGGTTGGGTAAGCAAGTGTAGGGAAGGAAAAACGTCTTTTCTGCTTTCTGTAGATCTCCAGTCGGGCCTAAGGGTAAACTGACATTAAGGCAGATTAATAGGAGAAAAACCTACCAGTGTTATTAGAATTTCACATGTAGGAATCTTCACAAGAGAATGAAGACCCAAAGAAGTGACCAGAACAGAAAGCTTATATACCTTTAGACACAGAAATGATAAGTTCATGACGAAATGACAAGACATGGGGATTTGGACTTGGGGCAGTAAATTGTGGGGAAATGTTGGGGCAGTGGGGGCGACCATGGAAGATAGGGGATATTTTAGTAGGTTTGTCTGTACAGGTCCATTTCAGCATCGATGGCCAGTCTCTGGTGATAAGGATGTTTTTCTCTTCTTGGTATAGAGAGGCTACCTTTCTTGTAGGAAATTTTTTTTTTTAAATATATTTTATTGATTTTTCACAGAGAGGAAGGGAGAGGGATAGAGAGCCAGAAACATCGATGAGAGAGAAACAGTGATCAGCTGCCTCCTGCACACCCGCTACTGGGGATGTGCCTGCAACCAAGGTACATGCCCTTGACTGGAATCGAACCTGGGACCCTTCAGTCCGCAGGCCGATGCTCTATCCACTGAGCCAAACCGGTCAGGGCTCTTGTAGGAAATTTTATGGCCTGTTTTAGGTAAAGGGGGCAGATCAGCGAGCCCCTCCTGCATCTGTTGTTTCTCTAGTGCCTTTAACTCAAAATAGTCAGGATGCCAAAGCAGCATGTATGGGGTAGTGTGTCCTGAACTCCTTCGCCAGGAGGAGAGGCCAGCATATGAAGGGGCTGAGAAAGGCTTTGGGGGCTCATTCTTTAAGGATAGTAAGGAGTCAGATCAATCCATAACTAAGAGTATAGGCGCTGCAGTTAGCCTACCAAGGTTCAGAGGCTAGCTCCACCACTCATTAGCTGTGTGACCTTGGAGAAATTACTTAACCTCTCTGACTCAGTTTTCTCCTCTATAAAGCAAGGATAATAATTGTACCTATCTCTTGGTTGTTTGCATGGATTAAATAAGCACGTGGGCAGGACCTAGCTCATAGTAAGCACTCAGTAAATGTTAGCTATTGTTATTACCTAACAATTTTTTTATTCCAGATACCCATTGACAATATGACCAATGAGATGGAGCAGAGGGTTGAGCCTCATAACGACTACTTTAGTACACAATTTCTTTTGAACTTTGCTATCCTTGGAACACACAACATTACTGTGGAATCTTCAGTGAAAGACGCCAATGGTATCGTATGGAAGACTGGTCCCAGAACTACCATATTTGTAAAATCCTTGGAAGACCCGTATTCCCAGCAAATTCGCCTGCAACAGCAGCAAGCCCAGCAACCATTACAACAGCAGCAACAACGAAATGCCTACACGCGGTTTTAACCATGTGACGAATGCACTATAGACTTTACAGGGATTGATTAAATTAGCAGAAGTACTCTGCATCTTCATATGGATTAAGATATGAAAGTTATAATGTGGAGTCCATTTACTCCTTGGTTTCTGTAATGTAATATTCTAAAAAATATAGGGGTTTTTTTTTCCCCCTTACAAATTTCTCATTTGAGAAAAATGGGGTTCTTAACCAGAAATATTTTTTTCCTTGTTCCTTTGACCAGGTCCCTTATCTCATAATTACCATTTTCATTCTTTTATTATTCTTTTTAGTGTGGCTGAGCCTTTTCTTTTTCTTTTAAGTCACATATTGGGATCATTGAATTAGTAAATTTGACTGCTTCTCTACCAAAATATATCACCAGCTGCCTGTGATTCTGAGCTGCACCTCGGGAAGTTCTGACCAGTACTGACCCTGGTGGTAAAACCGAGTCCTCCCATCGATGGACTCGGAAGTGTCTCCTGAACCATCAGTCTTCTGGAAAATGAGAGCAGGCAGACAAACAGCATCGACACATCCTGCTGTATTATTTCAACTCCTTATCTGTCCTATGCTAAAGCAAACTTAATTTATTGTTTTAGTACTTAATTGAACCAAAGTGCAGCTAAAAATTACATAGACATATTGGAGATTAATAATTTGTTTTTTCTAATATGTGTGTGATTGTGTAGACTTTTTACATTGTTTCTAAGAGTAAAAAAAATCACTCACATTTAATATCTCAATGTTTTAAGGTAGGAGGGCAGATCTTTGGTTTAGTTTCTTGGCATGTTATGTAATGCTAGACTTGATTGCCTAGAAAGAACAGTCTCTTTTTAACACAACCCCAATTAGATGGGATGCTCAGGGAATAGAAGTTTTCTAGTTAGCCAGAAAACCCCTTTTTTTTTTCTATTTCAATACTGGTTAAAAACGTTATAAAATCTAATACTGATATACTTTCTTGTCTTAACACAGTATACTAGATATAATTAACCGATCTTTCTGGATTTGGGATCATTTAGTTCTTTGGGATCATGATTTCTGAACATTGGGGATCACAGCATTGCAGAGATTGATGATATGGGCAGTTGGATTCGGAGTAGCTCCTAAGATGAAGCAGGCACATTCCTTGGAAATTTCTTTTTAAAATAAATATCTCCATTTCTTTGCTTGTGTTTGGCCTTTTCTCTTTGAAAGTTGACATTGGCTCAAAGGAGGGGTTGAGTTTAAAGGGAAAAACAAAGTGTGTGTGTTTTTTTCCTTGTCATCTGGCTTTTACGGGTGAGAAGTGATTGACAACTCAGGTCCCTTTAAGATCATGAGCTATATTTGCAGCACAACACATTTCACTGCCAACAGCCAGATCATTGTCATAAAACGTAAATCTACAGTGGCCACTGTAGATTATATCTGTTTATAAGTGGCCCAGTTGTACCCATAATGTACATAATGTAATGTAATGTAGTTAGCCTCTGTCACCAACATTAAAAGTATGATGGGATGTATCGAGAAGTCAGAAAGTCTGGTGAGTTGGCTTAGATTGCCTAACAGCAGCACTCCAGGAGGTTATGGTCTTTCCATTTCTTACCCAAGAATACAAAGACCTTTCAACCTCATGGGCTATGCTTTATGTTTTATTGGCTTGGCTGGAGCTAGTCCATTATCCTGTGGTATGCAGTCTAAAGTACTCATTCTATGAGCAATTTAATTTTTCATTGTAATTGGGATTTAAATAGAGTGAGTCAGGTTTTTTCCTTAATGACATACCAAGACCTGGAGCCATTGATTTCCACATTCTATTGAAGAATGCTAAACTTTTTTCAGACCTATTACAGTTACAAAACATTTTTCAGTATGTACCTTTTCCCAGTGCATTTCTCTCCTGCACAGTCAAGTTTGTTGTGCAATTTGCCCTCTTTGCTTATTACTTAGGTCTGGTTAAAGATTGAAACTTGATGAAATATGTTCGGGCATTATCTTCCTTATAGATCATGTCTACAGGTGTAGCTTTTGTTTAGTGATACCTGACTAAAAAGTAGTTTTGTTGTTTCCAGATAAATTATGAAGGTGAGATAATATCAAATGAATCAGAACGATCAGGAAAATGAGCCTCTTACCCAATCAGCATCCTCAAGAGTCAGGATGAGTTCAAGAAAAACAGATTGTATGCAGAGAAGAAATAACTCATAGTTCATCTTTTGGTTTTCTTGGGAGATTTTATTTGTGGATTTTTTAAATATATATTTTTATTGATTTCAGAGTAGGGGTGAGGGAGAGAGAGAGAAACATCAATGATGAGAGAGAATCATTGATCAGCTGCCTCCTGCACACCCCACACTGGGGATCGAGCCTGAAACCCGGACTTCTGGTTCATAAGTCAATGTTCAACCACTGAGCTACACCAGCTGGGCTTATTTGTGGGTTTTAATGAAGCTTATTTGTGGCTGTGAATCAAAAATATTTAAAATGGAGGACTAGGACTGAATGAGACTGAGGAATTATAAGAAGATATTAATGTCTAGTTCTGTTTCCCAACACCATGGAAGGTGAAAGTAGGCTGTGTTGCCTCAAGAGTTTCAACCCACCATTGGGAATAGTGAAGCTAATGATGCTTTTTGTTTATGTGTCCTCTCACCTTGAGGAGATGAGCAAAGTGATGGTAAATTGTTAACACTTGTACCCCGCACCGTGTTTTCCCTTCCCCACCCCCACCCACCAGTAAAGGCAGACAGCATGTGATCAGGAGGGCCAGCCCTAAAGTACTCCCCACATGGCAGGAGATGTAGATGAAATGCCTACTGAATAATGCAAGTTGGGGAGACGGCCTCTCCAGGGGTGAGCCCACACCATGCCAGGCCCTGAGCTGGCAGTGGGAAGTACAAATGAAATGGACAGATCCCTCAATTGACAGTAAAAGACCTCTGTCTTCAGAGAATGTGAAGAGGGCTTTATCAAAGCTGTTAACAGCAAAAAAAGATGCCATCTCTGAAATTCCAGTAGTATCTCCCCTTATACATAGCAGTCAGGACAGGCTCTAGGGTGATTAAAACTGGCCATCATTTGGCATCTTCTCCTTTTGCTGCTCTTGGAAGGCAAGTATTCCTTCCTTCTCAGAGAACCTCCTCCTGATATGATCAGAGACAAATGGGTACCTACTACTTTTGAAGCCAGAGCTGAACAGAAAGAGCATTTGGAAAAAAGGTTCACCCCTAAAGTATAAAGTCAATATTTAGCCTCAAGGAGATGAGCTGACATGCAAAAAGAAGTAAATATTGTCTTGTGTTGCAGAAGCTACTGCTGCTCTGGCCAGGTTGTTGGATGACATGAACCCATCAATGTCACATTTCAAGTTACCAGGGCATTAGGGAGAAATGACTGTAATCACAGAATCACTTAAGCAACATCAGATCTGTCCTACTTAGTGTCGCAGTGTCCCCTGGGATGCTCAAGAGCATATTAGCCGTGGCTAGAACTGTCTCGGCACATCTGGAACGTCCTGGAGGGCCCTTGACACAGGAGAGGCCTATCGGCCCTAAGCACTCCCAACCCCCTGCCCCTCTCCCATGTGGCTGGCCAGGAGTAGCTGATGGGAAGCATTTTTCCTTCACCCTGAGCACTGGAAGTAACTCCACTGGGACCACAGGGCACTATAGCTCAGTCAGCTTTTGTCTGAGCAGGAGTTTGTGAACTGGAGCACATTTCCCAGATCTATGCCAACGGCCCAGCCAACAAGGACACAAACAATTTTGAAAACAGATGACCTTTTATTTACTCACCAAATGTTTATCGAACACGTGTGGGATGCCAGGAACTGGGAATGCAATGATGGGCCAGCTCCTTGGGTTCATGGCTATGCCACTGCTTGTTTTTGCACAGACCATGGGAGAGGGAAGGTTGGGACCATGCTGGGTGGGCCTGAGCTTCCTTGGTGGTTGATCATTTCCTCCTGTGAAAGGGGAAAGGAATGAGTTTGCACAGGTCTATCCAGGTCCTGCCGTTTCCTGTGTGGCCCTTCGGAAAAGCTGTCAGCCTGAGCGTTTGCCCCTTTGGTAGCTAACCATCTTCACCGTTCACTAATATCCAACCTAAAGCCCTTAGGGTGATCTTAATTAACATCCTGCTTCAATTCTTTGTGTTTGAGGGAGATGGCAAACTCCCCAAAACCTTGCTCCCAGGGAAATAGTACTAATCAGAATGCAGTCTTCTCTGACCCTAACTACTTCATATTGAAAAACATACTTGTCCCTCCAGACCCGGCAGAAACACACTCGCCCCCAATTCCTCCCGCCAGACTTGACACTTTATACTGGTCCCTTTGTGACCAGTGTCAACCCAGTCTTATACATGATCCACTGCCTGACCCTTGGGGTTGCCGTAAATGTGGATAAATGGTGGCTACAGTTACCATGTTCTGGTCATGGGAACGAGCAGCTCCCTCCACCGTTCCAGCCTCCACGTCAGCCCCCGCGCATAACATTTTTGTGAGCCTTGGCTTCTTCCTCTGTGAAATGAGGCTAATAACTGCCCTGTTGTGAAGATTCAATGTAATAACACATGCACAAAGCCTGCTACTTGGCAGGGGCCCACCAAGTATTGGTTGCCTCTGCAGTTACGTTGCTGATCATCTCTGCCTTAGAGGAAAGTGATGTTCCAGGTCATCTGAGAACCTAAAGGGACTAAAATTTCTTAGACTCAAGAGAAATGTATTATTTTCCCTCTTAAGGAGGACATTTATATCTGTGAGCTTTCCTGTCCGCACAAGCCTTGAGCCCTAAGGTGGGGGAAGAGGGGGGTGTAAAAAAGAAGTGTCACCAGTTCAATGAGTCAACCCAGGCTTCTCTGTCATTCTTTCTGAGTTATTTAGCAACTGCAAAGTAAATGGGCTTGTATCCAAAGTTAGTTCTTGCCATGAAATCTATTGGACACAAGCCCCATGATTCAATGGACGCTGTCTACCTGACTGAGCAGAACTATTTTCCTGCTGAAAGGTTTTAGAGAGTTTGCTATCTCCCCCAAACAGAGCATGAAGACAAAATTGCAGTAAGAACTTTAGGTTGGGCGCAAGTAAGAACTTCGTGAACTGTGAAAATAATTAAATACTGAAGGAAGGTGGCATATGGACTGTGTGAGCTATTCTGTCCAACCACAGGGATCTGATCGCTTTGCCAACAGCCTCTCTGATCCCTTGGCCCCATTCCATCAGCAGGACTTGTGCAGGGCAGACTTCCTGCCAAGGGCTGTGCCTGGGAGATGGGGTGTAGCCCTGCTCCCTACCCACCACATGCCCTCCAGACAGAGGGCTCAGGCAGCTCAGCTGCAGATATAAATAACCCCCTCGTGACTCTCTGTCCTTAGAGCAAATGCCTCTGGCCATTGGGGAAGAAGTGGAGGGAGGGAGGGCTCCAGGAGGGAGAGCCCTCTGGGCTTGACAGCTGAGAAAAGAGCTGAGAGTGAAGAGGTTATGTTTTCTCTCACCTCCTAAGTGTGTCTGTATGTTTATGAGAGATGTGTCTACGCAGAGAGAAGAGCTGTCCTACTTTTGAGGAAGGAGGTGGGGGGGGGGGGG